GAATTGGAAAAGAGCGAAGAGACAGTGTGATAGCATAAGTTGCAGTCAAATGTCGTCGCACATTAAAATCTGTTCAATTATTAAAATGTTTAAGTCGCGACGGGATTTTGATCAGATTCACACACAACATCGAGTTTAATGTGTGGTTTTGTTTGCACAAAGACTCGATGCATATGTAACATGCCTGTTAGAAGTGTATTAAGATTCTATTAGATTGTGCACAACTAAGTTTATTAATGAGCACTCAATTTTGTAATCGTGCTACACTATCTCAAGTTTTGATGAATTTATTAGTTACAACACACAACCGGATGTCATTCGCGTATGGAATTACACCTGTTTTGGATGTAAAATCGTGTGATGAATCACGGTATAAATGCTTGAAAAATGACTTTGGGGCCGGGCTGCTCAATTTTTATTTTCCCAATGGATCTTTTCACAGGCAGTGATTGCGGGGCTTTGCTTCGCAACAATGACCTACCTCAAACGAAAAAAATCGAGCTCATTCGAAAACTGACGAGAAGAAACCCCTAATCGGAGCAACAACAAAAAAAAAGTCGGTCGTGTGTTTGAGACAAAGCGAAAAAAAGCCGCCTTGTTTACATTGGCAATGGAATCAATTTGTTATTTCGTTTAAGGCAAAACCCGGATTCAGATTTTTTTTGGTGTGTTTTTCAGACTTTTTGTTATTCTTGAATGTATATGTGCCTAAAAATATCAAACACCAAAGGCAGCAGTTGTAACAACAATGACTACAACCACGATGAAAGCGGCAGTGCAGGGACCGAAACAAACGTTTCGTTTTTACCGGGTACAAAATGATTAGTGTGACGACCACGTAGTCAGAATTATGCATAAGATATCAGTACATGGTTCTTTTTTTTGGTTCCCATTGTGACTGGTCGCTCTGCTCTTTTTTCGCTTCGCTTTTCAACTCGTATAAAATACACGATAAATTCGCATATATACTGCAGATAGAAACCTGCTGCTTTGGCTACGGAATGAAATTAAGTTTTTCTCTTTCCCTTTCACTCAGCATGTGTGTGTGTGTGTTCATGTACGTGAGTGTGTTTTGAATATTTAAACAATTCTCATTCGCATCACAGCATCGAAATATCAGTTTTTATCACTCGACCGGTCGAATATGTGTGCGCGCGTATTATGCGAAGGCACTGGAATATGATAGTGCTCCCTTGCTCTTGCCACCCCCTCCTTCTCACGCGATCGTATATCTTTCGTTCTTTGTCTGCATAAAATATGTTCCTTGGCTATCGTTCGCTGCAACACAACGCATTGGCTTTTCGCAACCAAAGGCACAAAGAGGCCAAAGGGAATGTGGTGGAAAATAGGTTACAAGCGTCATAGATAGCGGTGTGTGTGTGTGCCGAGCTGAAACCTCTCGTATACCAATCCGAGTCTTTGGCGCTCCGGCACGAACTCAATCTGATTAAATACATGAATATATGTCTTCCTTTTTCTATGCCTTTTCCTCGTCGTTTTTTTATATCCGCACTGAAAGACCATATATTTATCTATGTGGTCCTGCATACACACACATCCACTAAGAGATGTGAAACCCACGATTCATACATATCTATGAAAACCACATGCAAATGCCTCATATTTTCCAATTGAAAGTTTTTCGTTTCATTCTTAGAAATTGCGCTGCGCAAAGCCATCGGCATTTGGCCAAAAAGGACTCATCTGTGATTTGGTTTTGATTTACGATTTACAGGAGCAAGATAGAGATGAAGCAACAAAAAAAAGGTACAACCAAACCGATTTGTCAGCACCCGTAGAGAATTTATCGATGACTTCCCGGAATTTCTCGGATTCTTTTCTTCGTCGTCTTTATTCCGGAGCATGTGTGAAGAGTCATGTTTTGAGTAATTGGAAGGAAAATACAAGAATTACGGGAATTATTTGGATTTTGACATGAAAATAGTGGAACGAGATATTTACATGGAATGGTATTTGGTGAATAGACGATTGGCACCACAGATTTATTGTTGTCGCAAAAGCGTCGGTCGGTATAAGAACAAAGGTCAATGACGTCGTTCGGCGGTGAAAAAAGAAATTGAACAAAAAAAAGAAATAGGCAAGAACTAAAAACGATTCCGAGATTTCCGGAAAAGTCTAGAAAATGTCAATCAAAAACAGACAATCGAAAATTGGATGCGAAAATATTAAAACTAAAAAAAAGTTCGAAAAAGAGATTTTACGCCGATTTTCTTTGGATAGTCGGCGTAGTTCGGCGGAACAGTGGAGATAAATGATCGAAAAAGAAAAGCAGCAACATTTGACTATAAAATGAGTCAAAACAGCTCGATGACTGCTGTAATTGTGGTTATAAAACTAAATTCCCTTCAGACTGTTCACAATTACCATCCTTCCGAAATGTCGACTCTATTTAATCATCAAAAATGTCATTTCACACTCCAACTCATCAATTTACTGTGTTCAAACTTTTCATTTGGATTCAGTTCAAAACGGTCCATAAAATCGATAGCAAAAGGCCAAGTTTACTCTAAGCATAATGTGTTGTTGTTGTCGTCGGAACGTTTGCAGTCGAATTTCCGTATCGAATTAGATGAAAATTTGTGAACAGCATCCACTGCAGCAGTATGGTGGATGGCGTCTAATCGACGTCGGTGGTCGAGTTAAATGGCATATTTTATTCGAATTTGAATGCGGTTCAATTTGCGGATGAAACCATTCGAAAGTTATTTGAAAGTGATTCGCTTTTGCGGTATATCGATTTATTTTTAAAGCTATGCGAATCATATGTATGTATCTTACACTTGATTGCCGTGCACTTCATTGAAAGCGACGAACATTCTCGAGTAAATGAAAACAAAACAGGTCAATAATAAATCAAAGTGCCTATTTCGACCCTTGGCATTGGATTTCCTTGATTATATGGCCTAAAAAAACACCAACGAATTTTGAGTATGTGCGTGCGGTTTCTTACATTACGGAACTTTATCCGTCGGTCATTTTGTTGCTCTCTCGCAGCTCATAACGTTTCGCTCGATGTATTTTCTCACATGAATTTTCACTTTTGGGTACGAAAAAAAAATACGTCGAACGCTATTCAAGCGCAAATTAAAGAGTGGAAAGACGAACTTTAGAGAGCGAAAAGAGAGTAACAGAAAGAGAGAGAAAGGGAGTGAGTGATTTCGACAGAGGAGAGATTTTGCGAGAGAGAGAGAGAGAGAGAGAGAGAGAGAGAGAGAGATCTAGAGTGAAAAGCAAGAAGAGTAAGAAAGTGAAAGGAAATAGAGATAAGCGCAAAAAACACTCGATCTTTAAAAGAATTCGGTCGCAAAGTTGACAAACCAACTGTCAACGTTGATGCGGAAATGAAGCATGTCAACGGCATTCAAACAATTTCATCGGGCATCAGACGTAGGCGACGGCATTGCCTTAACATCCCTTTGATGACCATTAAATAAACATTTGCGATTCATGCATCGTCGACGCAATCATCACCACACTCTGATTTATGTCTTCTTGCCATTCTATATTTGCTTTGAAAATAACTTTGATGTGTGTACAGATGATGGTTTATCCTCTTACTATCAAACCTTGTATTGACGCTAGTCAAATGCATGTAAATACGTTGGGGTTTCTGGTAGTTTTGTGAAAGTTTCTAGTCCGAAAAATGCACTCACCCGAAACCATCTCAAAGTGAAAAAGCAGACATCTTTTGTCACATCAAAAACTCATTGAATTTCATATCACAAAAAGATACACCGAATAAACAAAGAATCTTCTTCCTCTGACATGAATTCTGTTTTTTTTTTTTCTGATTCAAATCAAAACACAATCAATGTCAACCAAAAAGCACATCGTATTTGTGACCAGAAATAAATGAATGAGATGTGTTCGTTTGTTGTTTGTATTTTGATTGAGTGTTGAATAATCTCAAGGTGCTCGAAAAGTTGGTGATGGAATGACCAGGCGAATTTAAAGAAAAAGTACCACAACGAACGTTCGCAAATCGAAAAAGCAAATAGACCGTGAATGAATGTGAGTGGGAATTACAACAGATGTAGAAGTTTTGCGATGTGGATATATTCTGTTTGTTGAAGTGGATTTTGGGTGGGCAGAGAGAGTGACAGAAAGAGGTAGAGAGAGTGAGAGAGAAATGAATAAATGGAATGGGTCGAAGGAAAGAAACATCAACAGAGAAAGAAGGTGTACAAGGAAAGAAAGAGTTAGACAGTTGCATGACATGGAGATATTGTATATCCGATAGCACAAAATAATCGATTCAACTAATGTTACAAGGATTTTGAGATGTACACTCAATCAACAATGGATGGAAATCGTTGAAAGGGTTATTATTATATAAGGCGAAATTGCATGTTATTGTCCAAAGGTATTGTCCGATTTCGATCGGATTACACAAATTTCGTTTGGTTTGTTTTGATGAAGAGTGTTAATAACTGACCAATTCGATAAGCAAATGAATATATCGTTTGGATTTTAATGAAAAGACACCATGTGTATAGATCGATTGTGAATTGGTCAATATTAGAGAAATCACCAAAGCTTTCTCAAATGACGACTATGGCCAATTAAAAGTTCCACACACAAATCATTGAAATGTGTTGAAGACACAACCGACATATCCAATAAATAAGTAGCCAAATAAATCAGCAAATGTATGTAATCTCCCTGTCATAGGTGGGTACGCCAGAGATTTTCAAAGGGGGTAATATCAAAAATCCGGAGAGAGTCCCGGAAAAAATCGATTCAAACAACTGTAATTCATTCAAAATGTAAGGATTTTGATTACGAAGGGGGAACATTTTTGGTAAAAATGACCGAATTTTCCAACCTTTGGAGGGGGTAATCGGAACCCTCAAAATATTGACCCATCCATAGATGGGTATATGCTCCATCTCATTTTCAAGTCTCTCGTTCCCATGCCAGTCTCTCAACTAACAAACCGTTTGTATACCATCTACATCTATTCGGTAACATAATCTTACCTTTGTAAAATTTTCAATTTTCTCCTCTGTATGTTGTTTAATACATGCAATTCGGTAAATCCATTTGTTTCATCTCTTGGCTGTCACACAATTTGTCAGTTTCTTAATTAAATCGTTCGGTTCGGTTGTACGCTGCCTCTCGTACGGTAGCAGCAGCGGCAACAGCAAATTTAGTATGATCTTTGACACATGTTCCGAAATTGAGAAAGTCCACAAACAATATAAATAGACGGTGTGGTATATTGCCGTTTCCACCGTTGTTGAATTATTAATGTGATGCAAATCGATGAGTGAAAGAGCACGTGTTTGTGTTTGGGAATCAAAAATTTTTCGCCTATACCTTGGCTCAATGAAATATTGATGGGTATTAGTTGTACGATGAGTGTCGAACAAGCTATTGTAGCATCAATCACTATCTGTTTTCTTGGCTTCGTCGATTCGACGGCACCTTGCTTGTTCGTTCTGCCACGTCTTTCTCCTTGTTTTGCTTTCTATTCGAGCTCGGTTTTTACGTTAATTTTACGTTTCAGAAAAGTTTTCCATTTGATGCCATGCAATTTAATCTCATTTCTCTCGCAAAAAAAACCAAGCGGCAGAAGTTTTTGCGAATCAATTTACCTGTTAACGAGCTCTGGCTGTTCTGAACGATATTTTTTCCCACTCTCGTTTCCAAAGTTATAACATCAGAGGTGGCGATTTTTCATCAACATATAATTAAATGAGAAACATTAATTTTCAATTGCATTAAACGAGCTTAAAATTGTTTGGCAAAAATTGTTCGTGTTTCATTTATTCGATATTTTCATAAAGGTAAAAAAACCGTATGTCTTGTTCTCATTGTATTCCATGGATGATAACGGGTTAAACACAATTCCCTGTTTTTCTTCACTCGTTTCGCTATTCATTTGCTCTATTCACAAAACAAAATTGTTTTATTTTTTTTCACGTCGCTTTTTACGTTGAATCACTTTTCAATTGAAAACTAAATGTGAAAGAGAACCGTCGATGAATCTATGTTATGGCTTTTGTTATCGCCGTTGCGCGTTGCCGCTTTTCACAAACCGAAAAACAAAGGAGCTTGTTTCACAAGGGGGTTTTGTTGTTGAAATGTGTGTGTGAGTATTTACATTTTCCGACGAAGGAATGAGGCGAATGAATGATGAAAGTGTGAGAGAAGCGCTTTGCAATGGCGCGATTCAACCATCAAGGAAATAGGTTTTGTAATCATATATTTTCTTCTGCAAACGCTTTCTTGCAATGCACGGCTATTGTTCAATGCGAGTATTCACAATTGAGCTTACAGTTTGCACACTCGCTTTGTAATTCAAGTCAATTCACATACACACACATTCACTCGGATAATAACTAACTAAGCGCTTGCATATATCTTGCTAAACACACCGATTTGTATGCACACTGCTCTTGAAAAATCAACAAAATTTAAATTAAACAAAAATTCACGGTTTTTTTGCACGGTTTTCTTTGGTAATTCACCTGCTTTGATAGAGGTTCTCTTTCAAAAATTTCGTCCGCTCTTTTCACCAAACTATGATGGTAACAATCGTCCTTTGAAATGACTCGAAACGAGAATTTCCAACAGTTTTTTTTTTTTTGAAACTCTTTCGAAATGGTCTTTGAAACTCTTTTATCGCAAAGTTTTTTTTCTCTTCGAAAAATTCGCTGTTTTCACACAAAAATCTCGTTTCGTCTAATTAAACGTTGGGCGTCGAAACAAAGTTGCTCGTATATAAAGGTAATAAAAATTCGCATTTTTAATGTGCATCGAATTTATTTGCTTTTCATTCTACTTTTGTTCAATATTTTCCAATTGATTGCACTGAGCGCGCATAAGTGCGAACGCCATGTCAACTTCAAAACAGACGAAAGAGAGAGAAAAGATGATGAAGAAAAAAACTTTCTTCGTAAATGTGTACGGAAAACTTTTTCGTTTCAATATCTGTTTGTTCACTATCTGTATGTATCACCAAATACCATGCTTAAACATTGTAAATACGGATGTACCATTTAATTTCACATCAAGTCGTTTATCGATATACCAATAAATTTACGACATTTTCGATTAAATTACAACTTTTTTTATGGATTTGTTTTTTATTTCAAGATTATTTTTTTTATATATTCAACTTTTTTTCCTTTGGAAATTCGAGAAAAATACACAGAATGCAGGAGGTTTTAGTGTTTGCAGAGCTTCGCGGATGCGACCATACACTCAACTGAATCATACATTCAGTTTTATACTTTGTGAATTGAGAATTTCAACGATTTTGCAACGCGAAATTCCAATCCGTTGGAATCATATGAGCTCAACGATGTGGTCCATTTCATTTTCCAATAAGAGTTTGCGGTGCGAAACGCATCACAACACGATGTGAATGGGATGATGAGTTTGCGCACACAACAAAACGGCCGGATTGAAATAAACGCTTGCGACAATGTTACCGCACGATTTTCGAGCAGGAGACACAAGATGTGTGGAGGGGAAGGTGGAGCGTGGTGAATTTCAATGAGAGGTGCTGAATTTGGAGATGGAGAATCATATGAAAACCCGAACCTTTCACAACTTTTTACTGCGTTTCGATACTCCAGAGAATATTTTCCACGAAAGGTCTTTTTTTGGATTTAATGAGCTCTGAACGGAGTTCGTTTTTTTTTCTTGTTTCATAGAATTCCATGAAAATGTTCCAACTTAAGTTGAAAAAGCTTGAGAAAGTAAAAATGGAAATTTTCAGTGTTGCCAAACAGTTTGAGTACATACGTGGTGATTTCGTGTGGAAAATTTAAAGACTATGGATTTATTTGAAAAAAGTCATCACTCCTTAAAAAACGCCAGAAAAAAACTCTGGTCCCAAACTCAATTTCTTTCCTAATTAAAGCCTTGCTTCATGTTAACATAACCGTTTTGACTTTCCCTCATCTTCGCCTCGATTCGGCATCGTCCAGTAAAGAAGAATTAAATTGTATTGCAAGAAATACGATGGCAAATTGTGTGCAATGCATCCCGTCCAATCCTAATGAAGACGATATTTCTCTTGCCGTTTATAATTTCGCTCTTATTTGATGCACGACATGCTTCAACGCAAGCAGTTTCTTGAGCACGTTCACACAGTTCGCTATTGTTGTGTCAATGGTATGTATACTCAGCATTCTCTTCCATTTTAGTTATTTTTTCTCGTTTTCATCTCCCATTCGCTGCAATTTTCTCGGGATATTCACATCAACTTATGTTTGGGTTTTTGTTTGCTTGTTTGGCTTGTAACATTTCGTGCACAACAACAAATTGAACGATGAAAAATATTTTAGAATTGTATTCGGTCGTTTGGCTTAAATGGGTAACAAGCAAATACTAGTTTCGATGCCGAAAAACATGAATCACTGGATGAGCATTACATTTATTTTCAAAAATGCCCACAAGCAAACATATTCAATACAATACTCACACAAAGGCCGGCTCTGTTATCTATCGCAGTTATTTTACGGAAGGAAGAGAAATGAATGGAACATGGCAATATTGTTTGTGCTTCGTAGAGATGCTCGCCTATAATGCCCCTTTCGATCGTACTATATACTGATTTTTAAAATATGTTTTCATTTTTGAACACAAAACAGTTGATTTACCAGACAAATAAAATCGAATGATGATGTTTATATGGAGGAATTTGGTTCAAATTAGTTTTTACATGGTGAAAATAGCTTAGTTGTCTGGCTGTACACCACTGCAAAGCATTTTAAGATGTCATGACACTGGAGGTGGTTGTTTGAAAGTAATTCATGTACACTATGATGCACGTCGAGAACATATTGTGTTGATGGTTTCACGCATCCTTTTTTTTGCGTACTTTCTTCGGTTCTATATAGGATATAGCCCACTAATTTGCGTTATATATGTTCATTTATGCTTACAGAATCGAATGTTTCCATTTCGATTTGATTCAAAATTTATTGTTAGCCCCTCCACCGCTTGTCTACCCGCTTTTAAAGGTGTCAAATTGTTATACTTCGAATACGTAATGTTTGTGTAATTTTTGGAATGGAGTTTTTCAAAAAGTTTTGAATTTCAAGAGAATTTCGAATGCCAAAATTGATGAGCATCAATTTGTAGTACGAATTCACTGGTTTCCATCTAGCTGTCTGCAAATGTACTTTCTGAGAATTACGAATACTTGCTCGATATTTACAGTTAATGTGGTTTCGAATTGAATTGAAATGTTACGCCAGTTCGTTGCAGCAAAGCATTCGGTGATTTGTCGGTTTAATTGGAATTTCATTGAATGCAAACTAATTCCGATTTGATGTTGAGTATTGGTGCATGCACGCCAAGTATTTTTTTTTCACCAGAAAAATCACTCAAACAAGCATATGTGCACAGGACGTGTTGAGGGTGCATGTACAAGCCAATATCGAGACTATATCCGACGTGGAAAAGTGAGTTGGCAATAATCATTATGTGCAGCATTCTCAATGCTAAAAATTAATTAAAAATAATTGGCATTTTCGAAACGGGGTATAAATTTTAAATAATAACAAAATTAAACTGTGATCTAATTGCATATTGCCAGAGCAAGCCATTGGTGTCCACAATTGGCGCTTCTCGTTCATTGCAAACCACACGCACGTACCACTCTCTTTTTGTGCCTCACTCTCTCTCACTCGATCGCAAACTTACTCTCCCTCTTTCGATTGCAACCGTACAAACACAGAAGCGATTACAACAAAACGTTTGCTGAGTGAGACTTTTATATATGCTGTTCGCATCAATATTCTCTCAATGTTTAGTTCGATTTCATTACCGATGCCGTATCAAGCGCACACATAGGGGATGACTGTTGATTTTGGAAAAAAATAAAATCCAAAAAATCCTACAAATTTACCACAAAATCGTTAGAAAAATCGTACAAGAATGTTTTGAATTCACCAAACTTTGAATATGAAAAAAAAACGGTCAAATTGAGCGTCCCCCAAGACAAATGCTTCACAAGCATCGCGGTTGATGCCAATCGTTAAGTTGCATTGCAATAAAATCATTCGCACTGATGCCATTGAAAAATGAATTGGTCTTTTCGCTGTCGAGCGTGCTCGTTCTCGATGCAGTCGCCCGTTCATCCCAAGTGAATTGATGCAAAACAGATACGAAAAAAAAATTGGCTACCGTTGCTTGCTTGCTTTTCAATCGTTCATCAAATTAATTGGTTCGCTCACACATTTTAACTATTCAAATCGAATATATTTATATATGCATTGCCGTTATATTGATATAACATTTTATTGATAGCATCAACTTGTTATATAGACTTTTCTGTTTTTACGCTGCGATTAATTCAGTTATAGCATTCGGAAATGTATTTAAATCAACGATATGCGGCCGGCCACGGTCATCGTAGTTTATGGTTTAATTGCCAATTTACATAGAAATCTAATTTTTGCAATAAACGTAACACGCACTAAGTTTAATTTTACGAACGCCATTCGAAACGAGATGAATGGGAGGAAGGTGAGGGTGCATTTTGGTATATAGGTGAGTGCATGCAAACAGATTTGCTGATGAATGCCGATTTACATCGGTTCTCGAAATTTTACATTTCAAATGCATATCAGTTGTTTTGAAGAGGGCAATGATCATGTAATTAAGAGCAATATAGAGGAAATTTTAACGGCAAACAACAAAACATGATGTTCAATAAATTAATGTAATTTTTCTTTGGATTCAGCAAATCCGAGCAATGGAAAATGAAATTGCTTTCAAAGTGACCATACTTGCTCGCCCTCCCCCTCAAATTTCGTTTTTCTCCCCTATCTTTCTTTCTCATTTTATCCCTATATATTTTTGTACTTCTCTCCTACTCATTACACCCTCTCTAAAGCATTTGCCGTCATACGCGATTTTCTCACGGATTTTTCTTTCTTTTCAACGAAAATGGGATTGATTCGCCTTTCATTTTTGAAAATGAATTAGTTTTGTTATTTCCATTGGGACTGCTACTCATTTTCCATCTCATTTCCCAATTCCATTTTTGTCTAAAGCTTAAACTGATACAGTAAATTCTATAGAATTTATATAGAAAACTCAGTTGAAGTGTGAATGAGCATTGAAATACTTTCATTCGGAGTTTCATTGACATGAAATTAGTTTGGTTAAATAACAAATGGAATTATTACATTTGATATTAATTTGTATCGAATTTAGGTGTTATGTAATTAATGAAAGACAGGTAATTACGAGTGATATGACAAGACTGACTTAAGCTTGTCCTTTTAATTAGACGTTCTTGGTGTGCGCACTCGTACTTTACATGCGTTACCGCTAGTACGAGCGCGCATGCTTACGCTACAGTTATTTCCCAAGGGATTTTCACATCGAGTGACGCGACCAATGAATTATTGATTTAAGCTCGAAATTGACGTTTAACTTCAATTCTTTGAAAAAGGAGGTAAAGATGTGACATGGTTGAGCCAACAGCTCAACTGCCATTAATGTTTACCATTCATCAGCAGTTGCTAGTTGGCATACTTTATGAAGTTGAAAACTTAACGAAAGAAATATCTTCAACGTCGTAGGGGTAACACATCAACAAGAGGGTATAATTGGTCTTTCGGATCCTTGGTATTCACCGGAGTGCCAACACTGAAAAAAATCAATCGAATGTCGGAATGTTTCCTAAAAATACTTTTTCCAGGTATTCAATAAATGCCCGGCCTACTTTCACTTCAATACACTTGAATACACTGTATTTCTATAACATAGGTGATAACGAGGGTTCTTAGGGTTCGGATTACCCCCCTCTAAAATATTTTTAGAAACCCTCAACAATTTTGGAAATGAGGACCTTTTTTTTGCTCTTCACTTTTTTGGCCGCGAAAATTCTTTCGATTTGCAAGGAATTTTCGTCAAAAAGTGAAGAGCAAAAAGAACGATTTTCTTGTCATTTTTCGGATTTGCAAGGCAATTTGAAGTTGGAAAATTCTTCCGATTTGCTAGGGATTTTCGCCATAAAAGTGAAGAGCAAAAAAAAACGATTTGATCTTCATTTCCTACAAATTGTTGACATCGTCAGGGGCCCCCATGGATTTTTCCAGGGACCCCCCACGGAATTTTGCCATCACCCCCCCAAAAATTTTCCGTTATCATCTATGTTCTATAATCTACACATCCCCCAAGCTAAACAGCAATCATCAATATCAAAAGTAATAACTTATATGCA